TTTTTGGTTTTTCTCCGGTACCGGGAACCGAACTCACGACCTTGCGCTTGCCAGGCAGGCGCTTTTGCTGCTGAGCTAAATCCCCAGCCCCAGCAAATGCTCATTTTCTACAGACTCAACTTAAAGGTTCTTAATTGTTGTATAGGAGGGAAAGGTTGAGACAGTTTGGAGTTCCTCCCTGTTTTTTTTTTTTTTTTTTGGACCAGGAATTGAACACATGACCTCAGGCTTGCCAGGCAAGCACTGCCTCTCTCATCTTTAGCAGAAACATGCCTCCAAAACCAGAAAGTGCACAGTGATGGGAAAAGATCGGAAATAAGATTAGAAAAAGGTGGTCTTTTCTTCTCATGATCACAGTGAGTTTTTTTTTTTTTTTTTTTTTTTTTTCACAGTGAGTTATTGAGACAACTTGCCCATGAGTTGTCACTGTCAGCCTGGAAAGGTGAGAATAGGGAATCTCAAGAGCTAAGATGGCCTCCTCACCAGTGAAAGATCAGACTGGAAAGAAAATGGAGGTAGAACAGGCCCAACATTCTCCAAGAATGTAGAGTGGGATTGGGCCAGATTGTCCCAATGAAACTGCCCTTTAAGTCTTATGAACAGCTGACAGCCTATTGCTTTTTAACTGGCACATAGAGTCCTGTGATATATTGGTAGACATGTATATTTTCTAAATATAAACTAGATTTCATAAAAAGACCCATTTTACAGCATTTCACATCAAAGTCCACTAGGGGAGTTCTAACATTACTTTTCCCTAGCACTGTTGTCCAACAAGTCCAACAACCAGGCCAAGCAAGGAGCACCAATAAATTTAGCAACTAGTAAGACTAACACAGTGTATACAAAAGAGGAATACAAGCCCTTGCATACAAAAGTAAAATATCCCATTAAGAAACATCACAATCTTTCCATGTTCTCAACCTAAATTTATAATCATTTTAACGAAAACAATGCAAAAAAGACAAGGCATAAAATTTAAGGCATAAGCAATTGACAAACAAGGATGACAATTTTTGATTTCCTAAATGAGTCACAGCCAGAATCTATGAAATAAGAGCAAACTCTTACCTCCTCCCAATTCTCTCACTGGGCCCTCCAAATGATTTAAGACTTCCAAATGATATTAGGAACATACAACTCCCAAACTACTAGATGTTCAATATGCTGAATTTGTGCTTCCCAAAACCGAAGAATGAATTTTAAGGAACAACCGAGGTTAAGAGTAGGAAATTTTATTGAGGGAGAGACAGCTCCGTAGAAAGACAGGAGGGGGCCTGACTGGGCTGTCAACGAGCCCACTTTTTAAAGGAAATTTTTATAGCAAAATCATCAGGTGGATTATCAAAAACTGGGTTAAATAACCCTAAGTTATTGCAGGCTGATCAGGCCCGCAGTCTCCCAAGCGAGTAGACAGTGAAGGCTTAAATAAATGAGACAATGGAAATGATTTTAGGGCTCCAGGAAGGACTAACTCTCTTCTCTGAGTTTAGCCAAAGACTTCTCTGGGCAGCCTGTATTTATTTGGTTTTCAAACAAAGGAGGAGGATACTCAAGAAAACGCGTGAATCTCGTAGGACCTTGGGAGAATTTTCCCAAGTAGTAAATTGTGTCAGTCAGGAGAACTACCTTATCTTTAGGTTGGTATTTATTGTAGGAGTGTGGAGACTGCAGCTGCAGTCTCCTTGTGGTTAACTGGGGTTGGAACCAAACATCCTCAGCTGTGGCCTTATCTTGTCCTTTGAGGCATCACAGCTTCACTAGCCAATGCAGCTTCATCGGTGACCAGTGACCCATAGAGGTTTATTTACTATGAGTCAACTGCCCATCTTTAGACAAGGTGCCTAAGTTTTGGACAACTCCCAAGTAAACATGGAAGGCCAATTGGTTAATATTAAATCCTGCTCAGAGCCACTTCATAGCAGTCTCTGTCAGTGGATACAAAATCATGAGGTGGGTATAACGTGGGATAAAACTAGGATTACAGGTGTAGTGTAGGTGCTTTGGTAATGTTGATCTGATGGGGAAGCAAATCATGTAGCAAGTGCACATGGAAAGAACAAGGACCTTTTTTGGAAGAGCTGAGTCAGGAGGTCCTGGTCACCCACCTGGGTAACTGATTATATTAGACCAGGTGATACCAATTATATTGCTTATTATCAAAAACTGGGTTAAATAACACCCCTTGGTGAGGCATGTAAGCCTGGTCATTCTGTCTTTGTTTTGAGGCCTGGCCTTCACCTCTAGCCACATTTTTTTTTTTTTTTTTTGAGACAAGGTCTCGCTATGTAGTTCAGGCTAGATTTAAACTCACTAAGTAGTCCAGCTTGGCCTCAAACTGAGCCTGATCCTTCTGCCTCAACCTCTCGATTCCTGGGATTACAGGCGTGTGCAACTACACCTGGTTTAGCCACATTTTTTTTTTTTTTTTTTTGCACTGAGACTTGAAGTCAGGACCTTGTGCTTGCCAGGCAGGCACTTGTGCACTGAGCTATATCCCTGGTCCTAAATGAAAAATGTGGTTATTATTTCTTTTCTTTCTTTTTTTTTTTTTTTTTTTTTTTGTACCAGGAATCAAACTCAGGATCTTGCTTTTGCCAGGCAGGCACTTGTGCCACTGAGCTATATCCCTGGCTCCTCTTAGCCACATTTGTCATTCATTCTCCTCCTCTGTACTGACTTCCCTGGGGCCCTATCCCTGTCTGACTGTCTATAATCTTTTTACCTGACTTAGCTGTCTATATTAAACGGACGGTGAGATGTTTAGCGATTTCACAGTTTTAAGGCAGACTCTTTCCCAAGTAAAGTTGGATGGAGAAGTTTCCTGTATCCAGGAGACAGTGGTGGGACTGGTGAGGGCTGAACTCACTCATGTAGCCCAGACTGGCCTCAGATTCACAGTGATCCTCCTGTCTCAGCCAGGCATGCACCACCACACTTGGCCAGTAGTTGAGCATTTATCTAGCTTTTGTGAGACCCTGGCTTTGATCCTCAGCACCAAAAACAGAACCAGAAACTTCCTGACCTTTCCTTCCCTACCATCTCACTACCATTACCTGTCTGGCTCAGCAGGTCTGGAGTGGGCCGAATCTGGGGATTTGGGAAGTAGACTGGTGCTTGTAAAACCCTCTGCAGGTCCCACTGGGGAAGACTGAGTGCCTCCCCCTTTACCCTCTTTCCTCCTCTCCCAGCCCCCACCTCACCTTGGATCTGAGTCAGCAGATGGGATCAGGAATCTGAGGAGGGAGAAGATCTTGCTACAGCCAGTTAGTAGGGAGCCAGGAAGGGAACTGATGATGTTTTTCAGGCCCCTTTTGTCCTGGGACCCTCTGGACAGAGCTGGTAGCTTGGCAGCATCTCAGAAGCAGGGGTAGGTGGGGGAGGAATTTGGGAGCAGCTCCCAGGGGCCCAGAGCAGCCAGCTGCCCCCACCTGCAGCCTCGGGAGTGCTCAGTGACAGAGTGATGCTGCTTCAGCAGAGTGCTAGAAACTGGGGTGTGCAAGAGGGTGAGGGGGAAGGTGGGAGATGGTCAGGATTTGGGATGGAGGTAGACATTGCCAGAAGGGATAGTGGAGAATGTAGAATGCAGGGATTTTTTGTTTTGTTTTGTTTTTCAAATTTCCCACATAAATTGAAAGCTAAGCCTGCGCCCAGGGGATGAAAACCAATTTTGGGATTAGTTTAAGCCGAAGTAATTGGGAAGGTAAAACTTGCAAAAGAGAAAACCATAGCACATGTTTCAAAGACGGAGAAAGAATTTCTGGGTTATCCTGAGACCTTCCTTCCATCTTCGAAGGGTCGAAGGGCTGGGATTTCTTCATCTCTGGAGCTCTGACCTGGTGGAAAGCTCACTTGCTCTCTATCCCCATGCCGGCCTGGGGAGAGGGAGGCAGGGCTGATCGGTCTAGGCTAAGAGACTGGCCCTGTAGATGCAGTGTGCTTTGTGCAGGAGCATGGCCTGAACTTTGAGAGACTCCTGGATGCCAGCAGTTACAAAGAGGCCCATCGGAGTGACATGATCCGCTGGGGGGAGGAGAAGCGCCAGGCTGATCCAGGCTTCTTCTGCAGGAAGGTCGTGGAGGGCGTCTCCCAGCCGGTGTGGGTAAGAGGGCTCCGTGGAGCGTGAAGAAACCCTGGCTTTTCAGCCCTCTGCTGTACCCATCTGTGTCTCCACCATCTTCCTGAGTGATCGCAGTAGCGCCAGTGTTGGTCCCTCGCTTTAGCTCTTGCCCCTTGTGATCTGTTCATTACACAGCAGCCAGAGTGACCTTTCAAAAACACAAGGCCACTCATGTCACAGTTATGTTTGAGACACTTTGGTGGCTCCCCATGGTGCTCAGGAACAAAGTCAGTCTTTAACTTGGATGTCTCTAAAACAAACAAACAAAAAGGGCGTGGTGGTGCACGCCTATAATCCCAGCACTCGGGAGGCTGAGGCAGGAGAATCCTTGGGAGTTAGAGGCCAGCCTGAACTGCAGTGAGATCCTGTCTCAAAAAGGCAAAAAAAAACCCCAGAAATCCCACAAAAACTTGGATGTCTAGGGCCCCAGTGGTGGCAAACCTACAGCACACGTGCCGCAGCGGACAGTTTGTGTCACTGAAAGCTCTGAAAGGTTTGCCATCACTGGTTTAGGCCCTATATGGTCCAGCTCTTGCCACCTTCCAGCCTGCTTCTGGAGCTGCAGCTCCTTAGCCTTCTCTCTGTTTTTTAAATCAAATTCCTCTGGAATCAGGGCCTTGCTCTCCTACCCGCCTGCAGTGCCTTTTCTTGCCGTCTTTATCTGTCTTCACTGCTGTCCCTGACAGGTGCTCCCATCGCACCTACCCCTTTCTTTATGCATTCTGGCAGCAAATGCCAGTCTGCCTATGCCAAGCATGGTTCCAGGGCCTGGGGCTGCATTGGTGCGGAATGCAACGAAGTCTCCACCTTCCAGGAACTTAGGTTATACACGGGCATGGGGAAGATAGGCACAAAAGAAATACAGAGTATGTCAATGGAGATGGATGCTAATGAGCAAACTGAAACAGGCCTAGGGTATGAGATGGGCTGCTGAGGGCTGGATGTTTATTATGGTTGTCAGGGTGACCTCTTCACAGGACCACGGGCTCCCACCTGAAGGAAATGAGTGAGCTGAGTGGAGTAGGGAGCTGCTGAGTGTGTTTGAGCAAGAGCTGGAGGGCCAGCGGTGGCCTGTGGGAGTGAAGGTCAGATCCTACCAGGCCATGGAGGGTTTGGATTTACTCCGAATGACAGAGAGTCATCGGGGGTTTTGAACAGAGGAGCGATATTGTTTAAGAGTTAAACTGGGTGTGATGGTGCACACCTATAAACCCAGCATTCTGGGAGGCTAAGGCGGGAGGGTCACAAATTTGAGTCTAGCCTAGGAAACTTAGTGAGACCTTGTCTCAAAATAAAAAATAAGCTCTAGGGATGTGGCTCAGTGAGAAGATGCTGGGTTCAATCCCTAGCACTACAATAAGAAAAGATTTAAGAGGTGGGTGAGGGTGTAGTTAGGTGGCAGAACATATGCTCAGCCCTTGGTTTAGTCCCCAGCACCAGATAACAAATTATGAGAAAGAAACAGATCAAAAAAGCTATCCCCCTTGTAATCCCAGCACTCAGAAGGCTGAAGCAGGAGGATTGCTGTGAGTTTGAGGCCAGCCTGGGCCACAATGTGAGTTCAAGGCCAGCCTAAACTGGAGAGCAAGACCTTGTCTCAAAAAGACAAAAAAATAAAAAAGAAGAAAAAGCTTCCCCTGGCTGCTGGAGGGTAGGCAGAAGTAAGAGCAGCCGTAGAGGCCATCGAAGATCTGTACAACAGGTGAAATGACTGTGGCCAGGCAGAGTCGTGATGGGTGGAGGGAAGAAGTCAGTTCTGCACGTTGTTTGCAGACACATTGGACAGGAGTTGTGCTGTTGTTGGGTAGCTGTGGGGTGTGATGATTTCATTTTGAGCATCTGGGTACATACAGTTGTCAATTCTGAGACCAGGAAGGAATGGGAGGGACAGGATTAAAGAGCATATCACGACCTGTCTTGGCTGCGTGGAGGCCGAGACACTTGTCAGTCTGTGCTGTGGTCCCAGTGTAATTTGGGAAGCTGCTGTTTATTTATTTATTTATTTTTTGGAAGCTGCTGCTTAGCATCTGTCTGTCCCACCGCACTGTAAGCTCCTGGGGTGCAGGACAAGGTGCGTTGTACTCACCACTCTCTCCTCTGTGCCTACTTCAGTGGCAGCACTCAGTAGGTGCCTCATTTGCTGCTTTCCTTGGATGAATGCTCTGTCTGGCAGGTAGGTGGCACACAGTGGGAGTAGAGCTGTACCTCTGTTGTAGCTTCTGGTATTTATTTATTTAATTAATTTATTTAAATTTATTTTTTTGAGACAATGTCTCACTATATAGTTCAGTCTGGACTTATACTCCCTGTGTAGTCCAACCTGGTCTCAACTTCATGGTGATTCTCCGGCCTCAGCCTCTCAAAAATTGGGGTAATAGGGGTGCACCCCAATGCCAGATTTGCTCTGGCTTCTGTCGCCTTCTTTCCCCTCACCTGCAGTACCCTGTCCTGTTGGTTACCTGTCTGTGTCCCTCTCCGGCAGCTGGTGAGTGACACACGGAGGGTGTCTGATGTCCAATGGTTTCAAGAGACCTATGGTGCTGTGACACAGACGGTCCGCATTGTGGCCTCAGAGCAGATCCGACAGCAGCGCGGCTGGGTGTTTATGCCAGGTGAGGTGCCCGGAGCGTTCTTCCCCAAGGCTGGGGCACATGCACCCACCCCTGTGCTCAGGGTCTCCTGTCTGTTTCCTGGCAGGCCTAGGGGGAAGTAAATGAAGGGCACAGAGGGGAATCTGAAGCCCAGGGCTGAGGGGTGCCAGGCCCCCAGATTAGGGAGCAGGGTTGCAGAGGGTGTTTTGGAAGGTTAGGGTCTCCTGAGCCCCTGGCCTGGTCTGCCTGCCCAAGCTATCTTCTAAGGTGGTGGGCTTCTCTGGGGGGCTGGATGGGATGCACCCCATGCCCTTCCCCTCTGCTGTCCACCCTGGTGGGGGCCAATGGCGGTTGGACTGTGTTAGCGCTTCACATGTCAGCTGGCTTTGCTGTCATATCGTAGCCACCATTGCATGGATGCCACTGTTTCTATGCCCGTGGCCTATGAGGACACTGGTCCAGAGAGGTTAAGTCTCACTCCTGGGGCCACAGAGAGTGCGAGGAGGAGCTGGACTCCTGCACAAGGCCTCTGGGGAAGACGGGTCTCGGTGGGTTCATCTGGAGGGCTGGGCCTGACTTCACCATGTCTCTTTCACAGGAGTGGATGATGCTGAATCAGAGTGTGGCCTGGACAACATTGGGGACTTTGACTGGGTCATTGAGAACCATGGAGATGAGCAGCAGCTGGAGGAGCAGTTGGAGAACCTGCTGGCATTTATCCGCGCCAAACTCTGAGTCAGGCTCCAGGAGTGCGCAAGGGCTGCTGGGCCCGACTGAGGCTGCCCCTGCAGGTGCTGGGGTCCCAGTCCTCACCAACAAGGGGAGGCGCACAGAGCACTTCAGTGTAGATATCTGGGGCCCCGGGGACTGAAGGATGTCAGGCAAATCAGGAACCCTCCAGGGAGCCTGGCTTCTCTGTGGAAGGATCCCTCCATCTTCAGGAGAATGCTTAAAGGACAAAGGAGGTGAATTCGCTGTCCTCAAAGCAGGAGCATTACCACCTCCATGGGAGCCAGACCGCTGGCCTGTGGTGGCCTCACCCTCCTGTCTGGATGCACTCAGCCCCTTGTTCTGGGTGAGAACCGGGCTCCCTGTGTGCCCGATAATAAACCTCGTCGGAGCGCATGCTCAGGGCTGGATGTCTCTCATTTCCTTCACGACAACCCCGTTGTGGAGCTCAGAAGGGCCCTGGAGTGTCACGGTGGCCTTGGCCTCTGCTCCGCCGCGTATCTGGCAGGCAGGTGTCCCACAGAGGTTGACCTGTGCACCCCAGAGGTGGCAGGCCTGCTCGTGTCAGAAGTGGGACTGAGGGCTTTGCTCTCTGGGACAGCCCAGGAATAGCGGCTCAGTATTCTGTAGAAAGTGTCACCAGTGAGTGTCCTTTTTATTTATATGGCTTTTTATAATTTACAGATTCCTTCACAGGTACCTTGTGGAGCGGGCAAAGAAGAGTGTTTTCATGTGCATTTAGCAGATGCCAAGAACTCAGACAAGTGAAACAACTTGCCCAGGATCAGAGGGTTAATAAGTGTTAGTGCTCAGTGTGGAACGAGGCTTCCTGACGCCCGGCTGGCCCCTTCTGCCACCTCCTGCAGGGGTGGCACAAAGTCCATGGCTCCTTGCCACCTCTAGACCAAGCGTAAGCACCCCCCTGCTGCTGGTCCTAGTGTCATTTTCTTCCCACAAATTCTGTCAGTTCTCACCAAAAAAGGGACAGCTGAAGAAATTAATGTTTCAGCCTGGCCCAAACTGAACTTGGCACATCCTTGCCCAAATCCTCTCCTCCCCCGCTGCCACCATCCTTACTGGGCACAAGGCACCAAGGACACAAAGGTGAGCAGGACACGGGCCATCCCTGAAAGGACTTGGGCCGGGTGTGGTGGTGCACACCTATAATCCCAGCACTCGGGAGGCTGAGGCAGGAGTATTGTTGAGAGTTCAAGGCCAGCCTGGGCTACAAAGTGAGCTCAAGGCCAGCCTGAACTACATAGTAAGACCCTGTCTCAAAAAGACAAAGAAAAAAGAAAAAAAAAGAAAGACTTGGTCTAGAGGACAGACCGGGTATATACCACAGGAACCTGAAGCCTGTGCCAGAGAGAACTGCTGGAGAGAGAGTAGCTGGGATTTCGTGGTGCTGTGGGCTTCACCTGTGTCCCAGAGACACTACCCCGTGCTTGGGAAGTCCCATCTGGAGTTAGGAGCAGGGCCTGTGAACTGCTGGCTGTGGAAATGAGCCAAAGCCAATGGGTCTTTGGCCTCCAAAATGGGAGGTGAAGTCTGTGGATCACACCTGAGATGAGTTTAAAGCAACTGGGGGGAGGCTGGGGCAGGGCTCTCCCTATGACAGGGAGAGAAGCCCCTGAGAGGAATCCTGAGTCCAAGCCTTGGGGACCCCCAGAGCAACTAGTTTGACATGTGACCTAGAGTGAGGACGCCTCAAGGGGGGGGTCCTCAACAAAGACAAAAGCAGAGCTGGTTATCAAAACACTGCCCGCAGGCTGGTATTTTTATACTCCTGACTGGATCATTCCAACTTGAAGATGAAAGGTTCGCCAAAAAAAAAAAAAAAAGGTTCACAAACAGATTTGGAGAGCTTGTTAGATAACTCACCCATCTGGGACCGCCAGTTATTACATGAGAGGGCCGGAGTGTGAGCGTGGCTGGAATCTGTCCATCGGAAGCCGTGCTCAGCCATAGGCTCCAGGGGCTTTGTGTGCTCTGTGTCCACCCTCTCTTCTGCTGGGCGCCCACTTCATGGAAGACCCTTATTTGGACCTGAACACTCTGGCATTATTTTTTTGTTGTTGAGAAGGAACAGCTCCTTTAATACAGATATGTAATCCAAGCACCTTGTGAGCTCTGTAGGGGAGAGATGCTAAGTCGCAGTTTCTGACCGCAAGGAGCTCCTGAGAGAGACACAGGCAGACAGGTGTCACTAGTTATTCTTGGGCATGGCAAAAGGAGGGGCAGGAGCATAAGGGGCCAGAGAGGGCTTTGGAGCTCAGAGAGAGGGAGGGACTTGTAGCAGGCAAGGTGTTGGGGGTCAAGAGTTGAGGCTGTTGAGGGGCCAGTAGGAGGCTTCCCCAAGTTTCTAAGCAAGAAGTGCAGGGCCCAAGGAGTCAAGGTTGCTGGAAAGCAGGTGGGTTGGCTGTGGTGTCCAGTCTCGTTTCTGACCCAGCCCATGTGAGGCCTGGCAGGTTCCCAGGCTCTGCTCCTGTGTGTGTGGGTGGGGAGGCAGAGGTACCTGTCTGGAAGCCAGTCAGAGCCTCATGGGTGCGTGGGTGGCTGAGGGCTGAGGCAACGCTGCTAGATGAGATCACCTCCTGATTCCAGCCCGGCTTCCGTAGCACTGTCTCACCATGATCTCCTTTCCTGGGCACCCAGCACAGACCAGCGTGGCTTTGTAACACATTGTCTTAAGATTTTATTGTTCCGTTCTAAACAGCTTTGTTGAGATACAATTATCACATAATTGCACACATTTAAAATGTACAATTTGGCAAGTGTTGACATATATATGTGTCTGTGAAGCCATCACTACAGTGGGCCTGCCACCCTCGAAATCTCCTCCTGTTCCCTCACCATTCCCTCTCCGGTCTCTCCTTGACTCCCTATCCTTGTCCCCAAGCACCTCCAATCTGCTTTTTGTCTCTATAGGTTTGTTTGCATTTTCAAGAATTTCATATCGAGAGTTACACTGTGTATATTCTTTTTTTGTCTGGTTTCTTTTACTCAGCATAGTTATTTTGAGATTCATCTGTATTATTGCAGGCATCAATAATTCATTCCTTTTTATTGCTCTATGTGGAATGAATACATCAGACTTGTTTATTTGTTGGATATCTGGGCTATTCACAATGTTTGGATTAGACAGCAATTAGTGCTCTTGTACAAATCTTTGTAAGGACATATGCTTTCATGCTTTTTTTTTTTTTTCTTGGTCTTTTAGAGACAGGGTCTCAGTTCAGGCTGGCCTCGAGCTCACTTTGTAGCCCAGGCTGGCCTTGAACTCGCAATGATCCTCCTGCCTCAGCCTCCTGAGTGCTGGGATTACAGGTGTGTGCCATCACACCCAGCTTTTGTGCTCTTAAATGAATACTTTTTTCTTACTCTTTTAGGATTTGTAAATATTTTATATTATTTTGTTTTGTTTTGTTTTGTTTTCCGGTACCGGGAATCGAATTTACATCCTTACACTTGCCGGGCAGGCGCTGTGCTGCTGAGCTAAATCCCCAGCCCCACTTTTTTTTTTTTAAACTTTAAAGAGAAAAAACACCCAAAATTTCAAAACAAGGTAGTAAGGTAACAATGGTTAATACATTGCATATTGTTATCTTTAAATTAGTTACTCAGAATATAAGATATTGGCATTTAATTGTCCAAACAATATTAGCACAAAACTTTCTTTTCAATGAACTAAAAGAAATTAGTAGTATAATTATCTTTTTTTTGTTTGTTTGTTTTTGTTTTTCTCCGGTACCGGGAACCGAACTCTCGACCTTGCGCTTGCCAGGCAGGCCCTTTGCCACTGAGCTAAATCCCCAGCCCCTAGTAGTATAATTATCTTAACTATCAATATATATATATTTTTCTTTTCCCTTCATTTCTCCATTCCCCCATTACAGTTTCTCTTTCCTTTTGAAGTTTCTTCTCATTTTATAATATCTATTGTACATTTTGGATCTTATTTGCTCTTTCACATTCTCACACTAGGGAGACAATACGATGTTTATACATGTGCATCTGGTTTATTTCACTTCTGTGTATGGTCTTGAGTTGCATCCATTTACCCATTTGACGCTTTCAGGGGCTGGGGACGTAGCTCAGTGGTACAGTGCTTGCTTAGCATGTGCATAAGGCCTTGGGATGGATTCCCCAGTACTGCCAAAAACCGAAACAAAAAACAAAAATCCAATCAGGGAAAAAAGAAAAGAAAAAAAGAAAGAAAGAAAGAAAGAAAGAACGAAGAAAGAAAGAAAGAGAAAGGAAGGAAAAGAGGAAAAAAGAACCACAAGCTACCAAACTGTTTCCAGAATGGCTGTACCACATGAGCACCAGCGTGAATGAGTTCTAGTTGCCCTGCATCTTTACCAGTACTTTAGGGGATTGAGCTTTTCAATTTTAGCCAGTCTAGTAGCTCTGTAGTGTCTTACTGGAATTTTATCTGCATTTTCCTAATGATTAATGTGATACAAATCTCAGAAGACTATGAGTAGAGTGGAATGATCTTAACCTGATAAAGAATATTTACACAAACGCCGCAGCAAACAGTATGCTTAGTGGTGAGGTAGCAAATACTTTCCCCTTGAGATTGGGACCAAGGCAAAGATGTCCACATTAATCACCTATTCAGCTTTCTACTGCAAGTTCTAACCAGGCAACAAGACAAGGAAAAGGAATGAAGACATCCAGATTAGAGAGAAAGAGATAAAACTGTCTTTATTCATGATGGCATGATTATGTAGAAAACATGATGGAATTCCCAAAAGAGCTACTAGAACTGATAAATGAGTTCAACAAGTTAGCAAGATATAAGATTAATGTATAAAACCCAACTGTAAGCCAGGCATGGTGGCACATGCCTGTAATTCCAGCACTCTGGGAGGCTAAGGCTGGAAGGTTGAAAGTTCAAATTCATCCTCGGTAATTTAGTGACATAAGGAGACCCTGTCAATGTAAAAAATAAAAAGGCTAGGAATATAGCTCAATGTGAAGGCTGTGTTCAATCCCTGGACACACACACACACACACACACACACACGTATGCATGCACAAATGTAGAATTGTGTTTCTATTAGCAATGTACAATCAAATATGGGAATAAGCTGGGTGTGGTGGCAGAGGCCTGTAATCACAGCACCCAGGAGGCTGAGGTGGGAGGATTGCCACAGGTTCGAGGCCAGCCTGGGCTACATAGTGAATTCAAGGGCTGCCTGAACTACATGGCGAGACCCTCTCTCAAAAAAGACTAAAAAACAAAAATAAAAATTTGGGGCTGAGGATAAGCTCAGTGGCACAGCACCTGTCTGGCAAGTGCAAGCTTTTGACTTCAATTTCTGGTACCAAACAAAAAACAAATCAAAACAATTTAAAAAGAGATTATATCGTGTTCATAGATTAAAAGA